AGAACCTTAAGTAAGATACTCTTGTAAATTGACTTCCTTCCTCAAGTGAACAAAATTTTAAGAGCGTGTTTGGGAGCAATTTTTGTGGGATTTTAATCAAAATTATAGCCGTTATAGTCAACTTGTGGGTCCCATCCGTGAGAGAGAAAGTCAAAAATAGTGACTGATTTGATAGTTAACGACCAAAATTTTGATTAAAATTTCTCTCAAACAGGGCCTAAGTAAGATACTCTTGTCACATTAGTAATGTAATTTTTTTATCTTATTCATTGGGGACCGAAGATCTAAGTTGTATGATTATATATTCGATTTTATTATATATTTATGAACTTTGTTTTAGGGAATAATTAAGTATAAAATAATCGACCACCTCACTCCCAAACAAACACACCTATCTAACCTAACGCATCATTATTTATTAGTGGGAAGATGCCAAACCAAACATATTCCAAACATTTATATGATTAAGGCGTTGAACTTTTAAATCGTAATTAGGTAAAGATTTGACTCAGAGCTGTCCCTTCAATTTATTATTTTATTAATCATTTCATAATTAATTAATCCTACCAGAAATAAATAACCGTTGAGAATTAATCATTAATTCATCTACACCAATAAGTGTAACAATGTTTTATTAAGACTAATTAAGTTTTAAAATGTCACAGAAGAGAAGGCAATGCAAGCTTGGCCTAACTGATTATGACAAATCAAATTAGCAATAATTCACTAACGGAATGAAGCTTCTTCCCTCTCTTTTCCTCCAAAAAAAGGGGGAGAAATGTCTCGTCCTTTCTTAATGCACGTTCATATGCATAGCCAGATATAAAGGTGTACAATATGATCAATCAAATTTAAAATAAAATTCGTTTTGCATCATATTTAGGGGCGGACGCAAAACTTAAAAGTTATGGGGCACCATCAAACTTGAAAAGAAATTGGGAGAAATTTTACAATCGAAAATCTACATCCAAAAAAATCATACCTCATATAATTTTGCATCCGAAAAATTACATGGAATATGACTTTTTCAGATGTAAAATTTTGAAATTTTTTTATATCATATTCCATATAAAATTTCATAATAAAAGGATGAAAATTACATTGA